ATTACCCTCAAATCAAAAATAATAATATGGTTACTACAATGTTTTGAAACGCTTTAGACAATGAGGTTAAAACGAGTGTTCCCCATTTTACATTAATTTATAAACACTAAAGAATGGCACATTGCACATAGTGTTTGACATTGATCCATATTTCTATGTTGAATATCATGTCATGTAAAGTAGAGCAGTGTACAACTGATGAGAATTTATGAACTAGAGTGACTTCAGTTTATCCAACGAATCTTATTTTTTGTGCTTTGTTCAAATTTATTGATGGACTGTATACAATTTTTGGATTTTTCGATAATTATAGTTTAAAACAGTAATCACTATTTCACTTAAACAAAGAATGACTCGCAAAAATATCAATGAACAAAGTAAAACTGAGTTAATTCCATAATGATACAAGAAATGAATATGTCGCCATCACTTGAAGTATTTCTGAAATTAAGACATGTCTGTTCAGTACCTTAAACATTGACAGACAGACAGTAACAACGTAGAACTTCGTACGTACGTACATTATTTCGAGTTGCCATACCACATTAGCACAGTTATCAATTCAAATCCCGTAGTGGAAAAGGTAGTAAGAGTATAAGTAGTAGTCGGAAAGATTAAGGTGCGAAGATGTTTTTCAAGGAGTATAATCCAGTGAAATAAATTTGGAAAGAGAAAAAAGAAAGGGACATGAAGAATTCAGAAGATTAGAATTTGGGAGAACACAAAGAGTTGATGCACCTGCACCATTGCCAACAATTTTAAGCCATGTCATTCAAGGTCTCTAACCATCGGTTGCTATCATCTCACGGATCCCAACCAGGTAGTCTACACCTAACAACATGGCTCAATCCACTTGTCAGTGACTTCATGGATTTGTGCCATGTTTTGATCTGGCCGCCCCTGGCTTTCTTCCAACGACTGAGTTACAAGCTCAAAATTAATGTATTCATTTTGATACTGTACCTTGTCATTAAGCGGTGTGTGTTTACGACTTTGCATATTTATTTTTATACCCCGTTGCGTACGTAATCGTCACAATCCCAATTCATGCATGTGTATATCCACATTCTATACACTCATCATGTGATTCATTAGTTGTTGTCACAACAGTTACTCTAAATACTACTTTCCCCAAGTTTATGTTTCTTGATGTTAACATCTTGACTCTTTTTAGTACAAAAGTATACACCACCAACTTATGAACTTAGTCACTGCTGTGCAACTGAGATCCCTTTTAAGTGTGACAAATGTTATGTCGAGCCTTGCCTGTCACATTATCATTTTTGTAACCAAGATGTGTCATATTTTTTATACAACCACCAATCAAGACAATTTTCGTATTAACTGGCCTCCACTCAAAAGTTAGGAATAGGCAAAAAATGCATTCGTTAATTACAAATCTTAAAAACGTGGATAAGACCTTGAAAACTTATTTAGATACAATATGTAACGAAAGTTAGTTACATAGGTAACCAATTTTTAATGCTTTAAATACGTAATCTTCTACAGCTTACGCATTATTTGCTTCCAAGTGAATATGTCCATTTTCCATCCTAGTAATTACTTTTCCTATCATAAATCCAAGATTATTTATTTAGCTTATCATTATCTTTTTTAGTATGTATATGGAATTGGTGGAGGAGCCGGTTGCCCAGCTCATAAATCTCGTTCATGTTACATTTGTCCACGTCAGTTGTTATTATGTCGCGTTGCTTTAGGACGGTCATTCATTCAGTTCAATGCCATGAAAGTAGCTCATGCACCCCCGGGCCACCATTCAATTGTTGGTCGACCAAGCGCAGGTGGACTCAATTTCTCTGAGTATGTCATATACAGAGGTGAACAAGCCTATCCTGAATATCTCATCACTTATTTGTTAGTCCCACCTGATCCAAATGATAATGAAAATATGACTGATCAAAATCTACCAAATCCTCTTACTCATAATATTGGACTTCTACCACCCACTAGTAACAGTGGTATCACTAGTATATCATCTAATGTTGGTGTGGCTGTAAACTCAGTACCCTGTTACACTGTGCCTTCAAACCAAAAAAATATTGTAACGAGTTCCTGTGATTCATCTTGTGTACAAACGCCTGTTCAGTCTCTGAAACTGCCTGTTGCAAATACTGCTACTTCTGGTTCTCTGGTTACAAGTGTAGCGCCAGCTGATAGACAGTTGTCAGATCCTCTTTCTTCTATTGCATCTACAACCCTAACCTCCTCTGCTCCAGGAGGTCCAAGTTGCCATTCAATCCCCTAACTATGTTTTCACACTATTTTATACTTTGCATTCTATAGTAGAACCTTTTTTACTTAGACTACACTTAAACTATAGTTGATTTCTTGTTAGATTTAATTAATTATTCTTTGCCTCTTCCCTTCAATTCCTTATATCTTTCACAAACATAAACACCGTTCTTCTGTTTTGCAAAAGTGATTTAAAACCGGTCGGTTTCTGTACAAAGTACCTAATTTATTTAATAATTGACTTACATAACTTTGTATATTTGCATGAAACTAAAGAGCTTCATCTAGTAATAAAAATGATCATAAATGTGACTAAATTATCTACGATAAAATTTTAACCATGCTTTTATAATAAAAATTTATTTCCCAATGATCACTTGAATGTCTGTCACTATTAATTAATAAAACTGTGCACATTTTTTTTCTTCTAATTTGAAAGTATGCTTATCTCCTTCAGCTCATCTGTCTAAAACGTTGTCAATACCATGACACATATCTTTAATAAATAGATAAGATTTCGGCTGATAATCTGGTTTGTCAAGATAAAGTCCGTTGATCGCCAAAGGAATGGGATAAAATACTGACTCATGCTTAATATACAGTCTGTTAATAGTTGTTATATAGGTGGGTAGATAGTTGAGGTGATTCTTAGACTACCAGTCACTCGAATCCTATAACTATATTTTAGAAATAGTGAATCGCTTCCGGTAGTAATTGTTGTGTCCTTATGTCACTTAACAATATTAACTGATAAGTCTGCTGAATGACCGCTGCTTCTAATAACTCCCTGGCTCAATGTACATGGCAACATGAACTTAAGAGAAAATGCGAGAAGTTCGAAAAGAACGCTTTATTACAAGGTTAGTTTATGTACAGAAAAACGAGACTATTTATCGAGTTACACACGATCTTGGTTTTCGGGGACCATACGAAATATAGTAGTATATGTAGATCTTGAATCAGGAACGTGACTTTTCCTAGATGTTTCTAAGAAGCTTCTATTCGATGCCCGCAAGCGTTTTCTGGGTATTTTCGAACCGTCAGAGGTTAATAGTGTAACCTCTGTATGAGTAGTAGGCTAGCGGGTAATTTGCTTTGTTGATTAAGTCTTAACTTATATTGTCTTGTAAACTTGTGTGGGGAATTATAAAGGACGTAATCCTGGCTAACGTGACTTAATATACGACAAATGGTCGTCCGTTTGGTTGTAAGACTACACGATACGATAAGAATTCAAAGGAGTCATTCGATACTTCTGACGGACCGTGTAACCATAATTAGTCTTAAAAGGACTAAAAAACTAATGTGGCGTGCAAAATTACTGTTCGGAATAAATTTTAAGGTCGCTCAGTCAGTCAGCTACAACATAGGACCAGGTACATATATGCATCGGCCCAAGTTCCCGTACCTCAATAACAGAAGTGAATCTTAGTCAACGGTCCTCCTAACCATTGTTTGGTATCCAATATCTGTTTGATTCTATTGTAGTTTAACTCACCAGTATTTTACATGAAATTGATCCATATGATTTATATCAATATTGAACGTGTAAATGAGGCTCTTTGTAAACATAGATACAATTCGGTTGTCATTTACTAAATCACTTGGTATTATGTCGCATACTGTGGACGCCCGACTGATAAGGAATATTGCCTAATTACTCGACACATTACTGATATTCTGTCAACCTCTGTGACGATAGTTAATGTATTGTCAGCACATTTATAGAAAATCTGAGTCCTGCCGAGCAAGATTTCATTCCTTTACAGAACATAATGTCAATATGATATGAAGCACTGTTTCGGTACGCCTTAATTCTTGACTTATGGTTGTTAAGAGTAGTCTACACAAAAAACTATGAATATTCGCTCATTAGCGTTTTGGTAACACTACATTTTAGCAGATGGACCATATTTTGAATAGTGCTGGACTCATATTAAGGCTTTCAGAATAAAAAAAGCATTCTATAAGACTGAGAAAAGAATGATCATATCATGACACCGTACTATTTTAGTGTTACTAACCCTCAGAATCAGCTGTGTATGTTTTCAGGTTGTAAGTCTTTAAGCAAGGGATTTTTCGGTGTTACCATAGCCGTGTTTTTATTTCAGCTAATTTTCCTATTTAATAAATTTGTGTTCTCTTCATATTTTGAGTAAAATCTTTTCTCAAAGAACTTTCCTCAGATATGAGATAAGTGTCAAACATAAAAGGACAATTAACTAAAAACACTCACATTTGTATTGTTTTGTAAGAATTAAATGGACTAAGTTTATTTTGTATTGTTTGTTTGAATCTTCTCACTGACGTTTAGAACCGCAGTTAATCAGTCTCCTATTGGCGTATGTCCATCTTGTGTAGATTACCTCGATGTTGCCTTAAGTCACAAGCATTATAAGGAGAGATGGATGCTGGCCAGAAGTGGAATCCAAGATGTGCGTTTCGTCCCTGAGTCGGTGTTCTCTCTTGGACTTGAACTAAGTTTATATATCTATGAGCAATAGTAATCATAATCGAGTGCGTATACAATTGTTCCAATTACTTTCACCATAGATACATATACAAGAAAAACTCACACTTCCCACTTTTAAGTACAGTAGTAAGAAACAATAAAAGCAAATTAAATTCAGCACAAAATATTATATTAAGTTCGTTTTACTAAAAAGGAGAAACCAGTAAGCACAGTCTTCTAATGGATCAATTCCAAATATATATATTATGATCTTCATATCTGTGATGGATTTTAACTAGCTGTCGTCAATTATTTTGTTTATCCACGTACGCACTTCACTCACTGTAGCAGTTACGTTATCTTCAAATTTCTATTTATGTTGGAATTTTTTAAAATCAAATAAAAATTTCGGAAAAATGAATTGTGGTTTCTGGATCTTTATATATATATATATATATATATATATATATATATATATATATATATATATATATATATATATATGCACAGGCTCTTTTATTTTATCTTCTTTACATTATCAAAAATATATAAACTTATCGAATCAGTTAGATTTGGCTTATTTTTCACTTCACCAATTCCGTATGATTGTGATATAACAATTATTAGTAGTGTTTCTCAGGGACGCTTATTGTCAGGTAGTCTTATTGTGGTGTGTGCTACTTACACTGACATAAGTAGTATATGATGTTAGTCGTGAACAGAAGGTCTGGCAGCAGAGAGACAAGAGGATCTAACAGTAAAGAATGGGAACAGAATGCAATTTGTATGAAAATGGAAGAACAATGAAGTCTGAGTCATTTTGAGACAACTGGTGGACATTTTACAAATTACGTATTTACTATTTGATTGTTAGATTTTATTAACAAGTCCTGTAATTTTGAGTCAAATACATTCAATTGACCTCACTCGTGATCTGTTCACTACATTATTACCTATCCACTTTGCTACTTGTCTAGATTTTAGCTCGGCTTTTTTCTTTTGAATAATTTGAGATATCTCGTCTGTCTTTTTCTTCTACATGATTGGTAGTATGACCGTGCAAATCAATCATTTCTTTATTTAAATTATTAAGATCAATAAGCATTCTAGTGAGGATAAAACTTTCGACTACGGAAAGAGGTTTTATGAATTACAGAGATTTCCTAACTTAAGAATATCGTAATTAGTTATTCCCTGTTTTCAATAAGTCAACCGGAATCCTATCTGAATTAACTCTTCAGGAATAACGTTAAGAAACTAAAGCCACTCCTAAATTATTCAGTTGACTTCACCACCTCATTTTCACTTCAGTCTCTCATTTCATGTGTCATTAAACGGGAAAAAGACAACCATTTCAATAAGAACACAAAATATTCCTAAGGTTTTTCTATTTTCCAGCTTTGGTCTTATTTCAGAAGCCACAAAATATGTAGAAAAAGCAACCGACTAATAGAAATGGTTCGCAATTTCAAAGTAAATATGGCGTTATCCAACACATTTAAATACCTGTCACACGACAATCAATTGAATCTAATTTAGTCTAAGTAAATGTGGCTTCTAATTTAGCGTGTCGACCAAGTCATTAAACGTTGACAATGCTGACAACTTGGGTATTTGGCTGTGATGATAAATGCGTCTCAGTGTTCTTTTGTGATGACTAATGCAACTACAGAAAACCCATATTGAAACGGATTTTCTCTATTGAACTGGATACGATAAATGTTCTCTTCATAAAATACTATTGACAATCAAACATACATTGGAAACGGATGTCTCAAAGTGCATATAACAAGTTTATTATTTTACAGAAAAGGAAGACTGGTGAAGAAAGTAAATTCGTATGTGTTAATACTAATATTTCTCAACAGCTGTTTGAAGAAATGAGCCGAAGAAAATATATACATCTAGGTACATTGTATATCATTCCCCTTCACCAGTTTGACTTAAGAACTCATTTTATTATGAGTACTTCGGATTCAAAATCCATTAGCTTTATAACAATAACCTTTCTTTCTATAATAAACGTGTATATTGACGACTTCGTACTATCTTATGCACTAATTCCATATAACATAAGTCATCATTAAGTGACAACTAATTACACTAACAAAGTAGAATTATTTGTGACCAGTGAAAGTAGGCGAATACAAACCGTCGTCTATAATATATATATATATATATATATATATATATATATATATATATATATATATATATATATATATATATATATATATATATATCAAAACTAAATAATATCAGAAATTTATTTTATCAATGATTTCATCATCATTTTATTCGAATTTCACATTGTGTAACTGTTCTGTACTTTGTATCGACAGACTGTAATCCTAACCTATTATTTAATTTTAATATAGTCAGTCGGTTATTATTTGAATGTATCTATACATGTATCACATGACGGTATCATCTAACATCTAGATAATACTAATTTATTATTACACATTCTATTATGATAAATAGGTCTATAATAATAATAATAATAATAAAGAATTTCACTCAATAAATTTCCTTACATCATAGTTCCATTTTAATTAAGGGCTTAATGATAAATAAAAAAAACAATCCTAATTTGACATTTCCTTTTCAGTTTCATTCAGTCATATTGAATACATTTTTTTAATATTTTTGTCTATGGAACAATATACACATGAATACTAATTAATACAATAATTATCTTTTTTTTTCTTATGAAAAAGTATCAAATATGAACAGTGATCAATTAGATGGTAATTAACATATTAACTAACTGATAATCAATCAATTAAATTATTGAAATAAATTTAAAATTTTAATTGTCAATAAGATTCAAAGAGATTAATCGATAAATTCCAAAGTTTCATTGAAAAAATAGTTTTTGAATTAGATTTTTTTTTAAAATTTAATGAATGTTAGCAATATGATATTGTTTTGTTTGAGGAAGAAGTACCTTAACAGACATGTAGTTTTATTTTTTTTTCTTCTATATTTATATTGACAGTTGTCTTCGCTCACATATTTCTTCTTTTGTATAAGGTCTAAGTCTTTAATTAAATATTTGTGACCTGATGACAATAATGAAGCTGTTAGTTAAGGATTCACATATTCCAAAAGAGACTGATCGAAACTCAGGCTTTAAAATCAGAAAAATAAAATTCATCCCTGTCTCACAAGCCCTTGGCTCATCATCTGGATCTACTTGGATCTTAGTGTCGATTTTTATTAAGGCATTGATTTGAGACTCTTAACGTCAATAACATGAAGATTCAAACACTGTGTCTGTCTAAACTCGGTAGATAAGAGGATAACACATTAGAGTTTGAGATCAAAGGTACTATGTTTGAGTCCTGGTTTAACTTAAACACTAAGATGCAGGTACATCCAGTAGACGATATCCAAATAGGATCCTAGATCCCGTTGCCAGTTATGAGCCGTGTTTACTAAAATGTGTCGCTGTAATCCTTAATAATTCGTTTACATTTTCATATAATTAACCTTCTAAGATGTATAGGTATCATTACCAAGGTTTGATTTGATAATTTCGAATAAGTTGAGTATTGGGTAGATTGTTATAAATAAATAATATATTTTTAATATCCCAATGAGTAGAACAATTAGATTTTCTGACGTTTCGTGACTTAGTATAGCTCCCTTCTTCAGAGAATAAATAACCAAATTAAAATTAATCCAAGAAGTGACTTACACTAAGTCACGAAACGTCAGAAAATCTAATTTTTTTACTCATTAGGATATTACAGATATATTATTTATTCTAAGACGTATGCTTATGTATGATTGCATATATGTGCTAGCCTACAGTTATCCTGTGGGATTGTTTATAAAGTATGAGAATAAATACTCAAATACCCACTACTTATCCAACTCGAAAAAACTTTGTTGTGGTGAAGTTCATTACTGTTGTTCCTACAATGTATGGGCGATAGTGTTGATGGTTCTACAAATAATGTCTGACTTTCATCACCTGGCAGATTGTTTAGCAGAAGACATCCGCCACTGTTCAAAATTTATCATTATAACTGAATTACAAATCAGAAACCTGGTTTCTCTATTTTGGAAATATAGTAAGGGATAAACAAAAAAGCACTTATATTGAATAAAGTTTATAACAAATGTTAGTTCGACACATACTGACTTACCGGTAGTTTTGGTGGGTTATCAATCTCATTAAATGGTGTTCTAAATGAAGGTGCGTAATCAAGTGATTTTATATAACATTTCGGAGCATATTGTACTGAAGTGATAAAGTCTGTACTCTGTACTTGATTAACCAGAAAACAAACTTCATTCTCTATGGAAGAACAACTCTGAACTAGATCACGATTTGGTGTTAAGGCCACTGGTGCTGATATCCAATGAGTTGGAGGGGTATCAATGCAACTCTAGTAAAATAAGCAAAAATCAACTTTTTTCAGCAAACTCATACACTTTTACCACATATACAAATCAGCTTAGGATACTTTTGTTTGTCCCAAATGTTATTTATTCTTAATATTGAGTGGGTAGTATGAAATCAGGTTTCAAAACAGTTGTCCCCTATTATATGTATATTTTAAAAAATGGTCTAAGCATTATCATATCAAACAAATTGGTTAGACCATTAGTTTTTTACTGTAGAGAATTAAAACAAAATGGTAATCAAAAAACGTTTGGTAGGAAGGTGAATACTGTATCTCATGTTACAAGTATTACTATGCTTTATTAATTGTTTACCTTACTGTGTGAAAAGAACCGAGACATGATACAGCGCTGTTGACGCGTAATTATTATTACCATAAAATCCTGTTTTGACTCATCAATCTTCATCTGAAATAAAAATGCGATGATTGCTGTACTAGGTAAATTCATTCATCTTTTCTATGTTCAGAACGACTGTATAAATTTATTCAAACAGTTCTTCATAAAATAACTAAATATCTGAAACTGAATTCACAATATGGTTCATGTTGTCTAAGTCACAGGTGTACTACATTTTGAGTAAGAAAATCCAGTTAGATGGTTTTATGTTTTTAATGAACTGAAAGTGAAAGTAATATTTGAACAATAAAAAACTCATGAGTTGTTGATAGAATTCTACTAACTTTAAGCGTTCTGTACAGTTATCTAGGTTTTGTAGCTGAATAAAAAGAAACACTTAAATTATTACTTACATGGTGTTTCTTCATGAAATTTTTAGTCCTTAGCAGAAGATTTGGGGTTACTTGTTTTTGTATATCAGAAGAATACTGCTTTTTAATCTCATCGTTTTCGCTAAAACCAGTTAGACTTTTTCGAGACTGTTCACTATTAAAAAGGTGAAAATAAATGAGTAAGTAAACTAAACTGTAATTCCTTTCGTATAAACTTTAGTGATATTACTACTTCTTCGGATTCTTAAGAGCTCCAGCATTTTAGTTAAAGAATATGCTATATTATCCTTTAAGAAATGAAAAATGTCTAGATATTTAAAAGGAAGGAGAAAGTAGTGGAAATGTCATTTCCAATGAACTCGCTTTTTTACTGGAATGCTAGCAGTTTAAAACGGATGTGATCTACAGTTTCTAAACAGTTTTCAGTCGTACGGTCAAAGTTCATCAGGTAGTTTAAATCAATCCATGAAGGATCGGAACGTTTTGCGCAATACAGAGAAAAACTGATGGGAGTATAAAGCGAAAATAATTAGTGAGAATCGCAAGAATCCAAATAAATCATATTTGTCCATCTGAAGATTAAGTCATTTAAAGTTCAAGTTGCTATCATATATGGTAGAAATATTTATAACCCCTATCAGTATTTGAACATCAACTGAATCTTTTGGTAGACGTCTCTTTCTTGATAGTTCTTACTTAAAATAATCATGCCCTTACTCATTCTGTTTTTTTCTCCCTCTTGACTACTCTCTAAAATAAATAACTCCATATAATCTTCCATAAATAAATATGTTATCTTTCTGTATTAATGAATAAAAATCGACTAAGAACCATTCGCAATATTATTTCAAAACTAAAAAGCTTTCAGAAAACTGTACGCGAGGCGTCAGTAATAAAAGCCATTCGCCTGACAGACTAATGCATTATTTATAAACTTCAGAATCCTGAAGTGTATAAACTATAATAAACCCTATTTGATTGACCGATAATAATGTGAAATTGCTTCTCATCCCTATACTGACTGTATATCAAACGAACATATAGTAATAGGTAAATTTTTTAGGGTCTTATGAAACAGTCGTCAAATGCCACCTCTACATTAAAACATAAATTATGATATCTATGGAACAAGTGGTAAGACAACTTTTTGTGCACTATGAAGATATGTTAAGAACAATTTCATAAAATTTGTAAGACTTCCAATGATCCTAGTAAAATATACGCTATACGAAATCGTTCAAAATATTTGAAAATGCGGTTGGAAATGAGGTCATTTTAAATTATTTTAGGGACTTCATATTAAAGTCTTGGGTGATCGCGTTGTAATTCTAAACGAGTCTGTTTTTAAGGCAACTCGTGAAACTTAACCGAAACCCCAAGAATCTCTCTTGAATTTGCTCGAGAATAAATCTATTATATTTTAGGATTCAAGGATAAAAGTAAATTAGGTTTTGGAATATTTCAAAGTATTTTAATTTCAGTCCAACTTCTTGACTGTTCAGTTTTTCCTCAAATTTAAGAAGCTAGTCATCATTCACAAATGGGGCTAACAGATCAGTTGACTGACAACACTGAATTAATTATTGGACCATCTAATATTGACTGAATTTTATTTGCTAATGACAGAGAATAAACTTCACTATCCAAATATCTGTGTATGTGAAATATCGGTCACTGACATTAATGATTTTAAGTGTACAATTTGATATGTCAAAACCGAAATTTTATCTATCATGTCTAAACCTAGAGTAAGTATAAGGTGTCATTGCAAGCAAAATTATCCCTAATTCTAACAGACTAGTTTAAGACTGTTCGCAGTCACTTATTCTAATAATGTTAAACCCGATTATTGCTCAGGCGAATGTAACTTTCAGGGAAAAATGATGCACATAAATATCTTGACTGAAAATATTTTGAGATTTTATATGTGAAGTCCACCTGATACAGAACATGTGTAGCTTCCAGATAAAAACATTGCCTAACTATAATATACGCTCTGCATATAACTTCAGTGTCAGAAAAACAGTTCACTTTGTTTTTTCTCGAATATCATTCGTGGCCGTATCGAAAATCATTTAGTTTCTACAAATACTCAATCAAAAATAAAATGCTAACAATAACTTTGGAAACTATATTTCTATGAAAGATCCTACTTACTTTAGTTTAAAGATTAAATTCAACCATAAACAGAGAGAACCTTAGCATATATATGTATCAATTCAGCCTATAGTAAATAGTTATAATTAGGAGGAAAATATTCAAGAAAATTGCAGTAGTGATCAAAATCTGAGTGTAGGAAGTATAATTCCAAAGGAAATCAGTGATACTGATAATAAAAAACTGTAGTTAGGACCAAGCAGAAAAGATATTACTAGTCCACCTAAGTCCATTTATTTGACCCATGTTAGCCATGATCTTCAAATATAAATACCAGTAATTTTCTGAATTACTACCAAGATGTTTGAAATTTCTAACACAGTTGAGCCCACCAGCAATTAACTTCATACAGTAACTCAGGACAATGTGTCCCTGTGATAACTAGCTCAACACCCATGAGTAAGTGTAGGCAGAGAAAAAAACGCTCCGTGTAGTAAATGCAATTTGTAACTACACTGCCTTAATTACGTAGTCCGTAGAAACTAGGAATAATATCAGTTGATATCATGTTCTAACAATTTCACTTGTCACATCTGCAAGTCTTAGATGTTTTCAGTAGTTTAAATTAATCTCCGAAATTCTTTAGAGCCTGAGTGGTGCTTACCTAGAATGAATTTTTTGAAATCTAATTGTTCTATACAGCAGCAATGATTTTTTATTTTATTTACACCGAATTTCGGCTTTAAAACCTTTTTTTCAGATTTAGGGAGAAATCATTATAGTTACAGATCTACTCTCTTAGCTAATCACTTACACCTGTTGCCACTCGAGGCAACTACGATTCTCCAGCCAAATCTGTTCTGGGCTCTACTTCATAGTAGTTCCTAAGTGCTATTTGTTCTTTATGTGTCTGCCTCAAATTAACGGTGTAATGTGTTCCATGGTCTGCCACTTTTCATGTTGCCTGTTGGATTTCAAGTTAGGGTTTGCCTTGTGATGCAGCTTGATGATTTCCACTAAGAATAAATTATCCACCTCCAACGTCTTTATTTTATTTCATCCTCATCGAGAAGCTAGTTTGTTCTCTGCCACAGGTCACTGCTGATGGTGTTTGCACAACGGTTTTGAAGTATCTTGTGTAAATAGACGTTTGTAAATAGCTGTACTTTTTGACAATGGTTAAGGTAGTTCTTCAATTTTCTGCTCATTAAAGTAGGACTGTCTTGACGTTTGCATTCAAGATTCTGACTTCGATGTTGGCTGACAGTTACTTTGAGTCCCGTATGTCCTCAAGTTATAAGAATGCTGCTCTTGATTTGTCCCTCCTTGCCTTTACGCCTGCATCAGATCCCCCTTGTTTATCAACGACGCTGCCCATGCACGTAAAACTTTGCACCTATTCCAGAGCCTCTCTATCAATCGTGATTGCGTTAGTGCTCTGTGTTGCATTCCGAGATCTTGCTTTTCCCCTTGTGTATTTGGGGCTGCTGCCACACTATCTTCGCCTTCATTTGTTGCTACGCATGGAACAGAAGAGTTAGTTCATATTTAAAATTCAGATCACCTAGTTTAATCTAAGAGGTCCATTATATTCAGTGCTTCCTCTGAGATGTGGAATTCTTCATAATTCAGTTAACCACCAAAAGAAAGAGAAATAAGGAGAGTAAGAAGATTGGTTTGACGCTATTTTCTACTTGAAAAACACCTGTGGGTCCTCCTCAATGCACAAAATGTTAGTGTAGTCCGTCGTATGAATTCCACATAGTGTTGACAATCTGATATATATCATACTGTCGAAGAAGATTCCTTGAGTTTCTCTGATTGACGATATCATCAAGTGCTTTCTCATATTCAAAGAAGCTGATATATTGTGATGATTTCCATTCGATTACTGGTCAATAATTATCCGTAGCGATGCGATTTGGTCGATGCATGATCGATCTTTAAGAAATCAAGATCTTTTATTTTGAAGTTGGGCATCTACTGAACTTTCCATTAGGTGTGAAAGCACTCTCTTGAAAACTACTTTGATTGTAGTGTGGTGCCTCTGTGGTTTTCACACCTACTAAGATCTCCTATCTTCTGTATCCTGATAAGGTAGGCCTGATTCCAGTCTGTCGTTACTTATTTTTCGTCTCAAATCTTCCTGACGAAAATATGGGGCATTTCTGCAGCAACTTCTATGCGTGAGTTCAATTCTTTTGCTGGTATGCAGTTTCGTTATTTTGCTTTTCCAATCTTTGTTTGTCTGGTGGTCATAGTTACTTTTTGATTTTTGGTGAGGTAATATCTATAGGTCAGTCAATGTGTGTTGCTTCAGTGTACGGTGAATTCATTTGGGCTGGTCTATTCAAGAGCTCTTCGAAGTATACTTCCTACCTGTTCTGCTCCACTCGAATCTCAGCGATTAGGTTGTAGCCTTTTTCCCAACCGGTCGCTTTACTTTACTATATTTTCGTATCATATAGTTTTTATAGACTTCACCCTCTTGCAGATTTTTCTACTGTTATTGCTCAGTCAACATATTTTCGCTTATCGATTCTAATGCTCCTTTGCACTCTCTCGTCTGCTTCTGTGTATACAACCTGCATCTTACCTTGCTCTGAGCTTATTCGAGCGTTACTATTTGCTGTCTTCTTATTCCTCCCTTCTTGAATCTTACCCAGGTTATCGATAGAAATCTACTCTTTACTCTGATGCTTCTTAAGGTCTAACACTTTCTGGTGTGCTGATTTTATTGGTTCTTTTATCTGTTTCTCGTTTTTCTTTATAATTGTTTTCCTCCTCATTGAACAGAACTTGTAAGTCCTGAGACTTAGTGTTAAGAGCTATCTTGAATTTACTGAGCTTGTTAGCATCCTTTCTGCAACTGTCTAGTTCTTCTTTAGCCTTAGTTTCATATAGGTCACAACCAGGTAATGATCTAAATTTATATCAACTCCTCTCTTTATTTTTATGTTAGCTAAGAACTTTCAGGATGTTTTGTCGATTTACATGTGTTCAGTCTGTTTCTCTATAGTGTTACCCCGTGAAACCCATGTAGCTTTGTGCATAAGTTAGTTTCCATTCGGACCTTACTGTTAAGATCTTCCATTGGTATAGTCATATCCAACCCTAGCCATTTCTCTGTGATTAACTTCAGTTTTTGATAAAATTGATCCTAATCAACTTCCTCGCTTTCATTGGTAGTGGTATAACAGTGGGTGGTATAAAATATAACCCCCTCCTTTTTTCAAAAAATGCTTTAATGATTCTTAATCCAAGAGATTCACATCCTATAAGTGCTTTTATTGCATATTTGAACAAAATTAGTGCAAATTCTTGTGTGTACAAAGCACTTCCTTCTTCATGACCAGCATACCATAGCACCTGTCTCGAAGCTAATCTTTTCTGCCCCATTTGCTTTCAATAGGTTTCTTTTATTCCGAGCATCTCCAAACTTTGTCTTTTGATTTATGCAACTAATAATATGGTCTTACTGCTCTTCCACATTGTTCAAAAATCCCATAAACCTAAATTATTAGTTGATCTGCTTATTACAAGGGCCAACAACCTCGTGACTTTTAAATAATCCTGGCTTTCATGATGAGACATCATAATTCTTCTAGATGAAAACCGTTCAGCTTTCGGAGTAGAAATTAAATGGTTCAAATTAATTTTTAGTTAGCGTTTTCTAGCAAGGACTTTTTATTGAGGATGGGAGTGCTAATGCTATGCCCATCCTTCCACTATTATACGGGCTTATGACCAGCATTAAATTTGAGAGGGTCCTAGAAGGGGTACGATTTATTCATCAATGACTCTTTAGTTAAAATATATTCTTTTTCCCTAAAAACTCAAAATGGAAGTTCAATCAAGCGTTAAGAATATTGATAATTCAGTGTTGACAGTTTTATTTATTAAAACGAGCTAAACTTCAAATGCTTCCTAAACAACCGTGCCACGTTTTCAGTTTACAAGCATCACAATTTTATACATATTGAAATCTACAAACTTTTCTATCGATGCTTTATTCTCATGACAATTCATATCTAATAAAGACATTTGTGCTATCACAGTTTGTGACAAGTTTTCAAAATGTATGAAAAATTCAGGCAGATGGCGAAATTGTGATATGATGAGATATCCATTTTCACGAAATCTGGAATTTTATATTTATTAATAAAAGAAAACCGATTTCATAGTTAATGGTTCATTTGCAATAAACTCAGCTTCATGTATTGGTGCATTCCCAAAAAGAAAATTTTATAGTTCCCTTTGAAAACTAAGTAATTGTAGTTCTAGCCATAAATATAAGAGTCCATAATTTCCCGTTCCATATGGTGCAGTATACTTGCTAAGACCTGTCGTAATAAGGGTATCATTTATGGAGTAACAACGACTTCACTTCAAGAAACCGTAAAACAGTCATATTATAGATGATCATACCTCTTAGTAAATTTATTTATCTCCGCAATTGCATGGATATCATCGATAAATATTACCAACACTGACTCACGATAAAACAGTAAAGGGTAGAGGACAAATTAAGATTCATCCTCTTTGACAGAGTTATGAAGCATCATATTAGAATATGTAGAGATAATTTGGTAGTAACGTTTTTGAGGATAAATAAGTAACTGTAGAAACGCACTAACTAGATGTGTATTTATGTCGGCAAAACTTTATTACATTCAAATTCCGGGTGTTAAAGAATTATGCTCCGGTGTAAAACGTAATGAGATGGTAAAGTGTAGAATAACGAAGTCTTTGATGAGCTATTTGCTTGGTATTTGATCTCGAATAAAGTTAACTAGGTATATATGATATCGTATTGCACCTTCAATATTTTTACTCTATCCGATTTTCAGGCGGATAAATGATTATAAGTTCGAAATTGATCTGAAATGTTCCAAGCTTCACAAACTTAAAAACTACTTCGATATAAATTTATTTCATTCCGAGTGTCTGTAAAAGTCACATGAGATTTAGTAGTCAAGGAAAACAAAGTAACACAACACGGTTATTTTCATGAACTCCGGGGAAATGAAAATTCTCAACAACTGATGTCATCAAGCATTAAAGATTATCAATAATGCAGCTATAAAAGTGAAACGTAAGTCACTGCACTCGCTTATAATGAAAAAAATGGTTGATGGGTTTGTTGGTTCTCTTCCTTCAGAAAATTAATTTTTACGCATACTTTTGCCAAGTATTTTTGTTTTGTATACGGATCCAAATAGATCAATAAGTGACAAAACTTGATAAACACTGAGATTTCTATCCGGTTTATTACCTTTACCACCAAAAAATCAAGCAATAGCAAAGGTGTATAAAACGATGGAAGAAAAATGTCATTTGTTCAACTACATCACCAAACGATACTTAAAAAATGCCAACTACATATGAACGAAGTAACAACAGGTTCATAGAGGTGATTTGTACTAGATTTACTCGTTGTCACCGGATACTGACTCCCAACACCAAGAAAACACACGTCATGTAAGCTATGATCTCCATATGATTTTGGCGGGAAGTACTAACTTCATTTCAACCCCATGTTTCATTTTGGCTAACATCTGGTCGCTATCAAGGCTCTTTATACCGCCAAGCATTTGATAAACAGAAACATTCAGAACTTACATCACTGAATACTCAAACATATGTGCAAAGTGCTTGGCTAAATGAGGGTCTATTCTTTACAGGCTTAAAAAGACGGACAGTGAGCTGTTGGAACAGGTTCAGAAAACTGCGCCTAATTTGATTCCATAAATAGCAAAGCTTCCATATGACTATCGACTGGCAAAGCTAAACATATTTCTATTGTCATATCGACGTATCAGAGGTGACTTGATCACAATTTTCAAATTACTTAGTGATAAATTTGTATTTGATATGCCTTCACTATTTTGTCTTCCAAAACAGATTTTACAAGGAAAACGTTCATATATCCAAAACAGATTACTTGTCAGCTGACTATCGACTTTCCCATAGAATCATGAACAAATGGAACTCATTAACTCAACACGTAATTAAACCTCCATTTATCGATGCTCTCAAAAGAGAGTTGGATGAACTGGGCGACTACCGTTTACAGGACTGACACAGTACACCTAGCCTCCTGCCTTTCCAAACTGAAATGAGAACTTCGTAAGAGGTCACGATATCGTTATTAACAAATGTATACGTTATCAGTTAAAAAAAATGTTTTGATGTATGAGTGTAAGCAATCAATACTATACATGTAAGAGTTGAGATTGTACTCGATAAAAGCTTTTAAACTAAAGAAACGATAAAGTACATGGGTAAAATATCTATTTTGGCACCATTTCGTTGTCAAAACATTTAAGTTATTTCTAAAAGTTAAAACCTTTGAAAAAAATGACCTTGTAATTCATTGAAAACATAAGAAAATGATGGCTAAATGCATACCTCTCAGGAATTTGGCTTATAGAAATCTCTGGTATTCCTTTCAATTTCGAAACATTATGATACGTCGTATCATCGGAATTATCAAATAAACTTGAGCGATGGTCAAAGGAAGTGTCATTAGAGTCTACTAGATCAAAGTCACTATTGTCAACCAATGAACTCTTATAAGACGGTGAATCTAAGCATTTGAAAAAATCTCTAAAACTTACATATAGGACTAAACTTTAATTGAGAAACATCAGTGATATTAACGCCATCACCGGCATTGAGTGTAGAGTTCTTGATATCTGGTGAAACTTAGTGAAAAGAATCAGCCAAATGTTTTTTTACATACGAGGAAACTGATATAAATCTCGAAATAGGGAATCGTTATTGTCAGATTTCCCTAAAAAATAGTTGTAAAAATCATTACTTACATAAACCTCTTCGTATTTCCGGACTAGAGTTCAAGTCTTGGTCATCACAATCATCTTAAAGGCAGAAAATATGGTGATTAAATCTAAGCTTACTGTCCATGGCCAGAAAGTACACTGACTTCACGAAAACAAATACATTATTTAAATTTTGCCTAATGCGCCTTTCTATAGTCGATACATCATAACGAAAAATATTTGAGGAAATGATAATAATAAATAATTAAAAATTCAAACACTTCCATCCTCATTATTTAACAATAACAGCTTTATCACAGAAAGAATGAGTCGATGGAATTAGTGCGAATGTAGAACACTAAATGTTATAAATGCAGGTTTTGCAGCCCACAGGTTTATCGATTGCCGAATAAATTCCAAATTAATAGTGTGCTCGAATTCGCTTTTAGCTGACTTCGGCTTTTCGGAAGCTCATCGGTGTGAACCTGTGGTCAAGATGTGATGTGTAACATAGCTGGTTAAACACAGTAAGTCTGGTTACGTTTGGTGTAATTCAAGGAACTTGTATGGTGTGTCGTTAGTATGGATCATTTGCGTCATTAACAGCGACTAGGCACAATCTACTACCAGAAAGAATGTTACTCAAACATATAATTCAAAGTTTCCCGCAACTAACCTCTATTTACGAGAGTCAGTAATTAGATTATGGGGTTGTATCAGGTCTATAACAATGACTAACACAAAAACATCCGCAACAGCCAAAACTCAACGAGTGAGTGTGTGTAAACCCACGTTAAGGTAGTCATTTCGCTTCCCGTATGTGACACGCGGTTTTCCGTTTGCTACGTGTACGTTGAAAACTCTTTCGTGCAGTCGGTCGTTAGAATCGACATTAAGAACACCAACTCCTGTTCCAATGTATACGAGGTAGTGAAGTTTCGTAACTACATTAGTGATGCATAAACGATGACTATGTTGCCGTTGACGCGTGACGTCTGTGCAGTTTACCGAAACATTTTTCACGACTGTATGTTTAGAGTTCAAAAAACTGCTGGGTTTTCTGCGATTTCCCGTGCTGTTTATGATACCAGTACCAGTTGAGGTTATCTTTCTCTTGTGAGCTAGAGACAGATCGTTTTCGTGAAATACTGCTTCGAAATTTTGTGTGTACATTTACTCATGACGAATAGTAAGGTAACGTGTCAGAGTATCTCAGAGTTCCGTAATGTCATTTCGTGTGATTCGAACATTTTATTTGATCGAAAAAACCTCAACATTAGATGTTTTGGTGATCTCTAGAATTCGGTCCATAGATGTAGCCTGCCTCTCTATAGCGTTGTTTTGAAATGAGACAAGTACTACTTGTGCTTGTTGGGGAGGCTTAGACAACAAAGCTGTCTGAACTGGCCCTTGTCAGAGGTTCGTTGACTAATGACCTCCCGCATACGCAGCGACATTTCTTTTGTTGAGCCACGTTGTAGTTTGGTGTCGTGGAAGGATTTGTCCGACATTTGACGGTTCGTTAGGTCTTCACAGTTAAGGATAGCCTTCCCTAAATTGTCTTATGACTCCGAATCATCGCTAGTTAACATACTAGGTGTTACGTAACGGTTAAAATGGCGCTGGGGTGCTTTTACTACCACGAGGGTATGTGCAGGTGTGTCTGCTACGCCGTGATAGTGAAATTAGCTTCTGCGTTGCGGGACCGGGGTTTGATATATCTGGCCGGAATGACATTAGTTGAAACGAGGGAGTGGAAACATTTTAAAATTTGAGTGCTACCGCGCTAATTTCAAAAAGGGCAGTGATTTTTGTACTTGTGGTGATTATACTTGCTTTGGGTACTTACTGCACTAAAATGCATTCTTGGTCTACTTTAACTAAGAGTTCTTTGGTTAAAGTTTGAAATTTTTTGCTAAATTTTGTCCTGAGTACCTTTTTTTAGTCCTTGACTAACACTTGTGTTCACATTGTGATCATTTTTTGTTTTTAAACCTTTTAAATCTAATTACAATGGCTGGTAAGACTCACAAATTTGGGCAACCAAATTGTTTGTCCTCCGTTGAGGAGGGGATGCAGTGTGACAATTGTAAAAAGTGGTACCACAAATGTGCACACGCCTAAGTTCGACGGCTTATAAAAGATGCTCGAAGCCTAACTCGCATTGGCTTTGTATGTTCTGCTGTTCGGATAAAAAGGTACTAATTCAGGAGGCTATGAGCCTATTGGCTTTGGCCTGCAAGAAAAACGATGGCGGAAGCACTGATAACAGGAGTACTGACGATGAAGAATGTGTCAGTGTAGTAAGTGCTGCTACTGGACCCGTCAAACATCTGACTGCGGTTGACGGGAACGTGAAATTTCCGTCGACATTAACGAGGAATGAAGTGTCGCTTGATATTGACATCGGCAGTCATACACCTCTAGTCGAAATAGAAGATCCGGATAAAACTGTCACCGTTCCACATAGTCCAGGTGTGGATGCTCTGAGTGGGGACAAATGGACTTCGGTAAGAAGAAGAAGAAATAAGAAGAAAAGGGCTGTAGGCAAAACGCAGCTGGTCAGCAAGACATTGGAAGAGATGTTATCAGAAGAAAAATCCTCACCGCGAGAAAAGATAGATCTCTCTGAGAGATCAGTCATTTTCCATAAGATAAGAGAATCTTCAGATACAGAACCAAAGGCAAGATTTGAACATGATCTCAATCATATTAAGACATCATTAAGTAAACTACTCCCAGATACAGTTTCAGGAGTTAGTATTTGTAAGCTTTATAGAATAGGAAAAAAGGTGGATTCCGAAAGTCCTCAGAAAGACCGCCTCCTAAAGGTTACATTCAACACGGTGGAAGAAAGGAACCTGGTTCTAAGTAATTCACGTAAACTGATTGGGTCCGGAATATATGTCCGTGAGGACCTCAGCCTAGCTGATCGTATCAGGAGAAGGGCTGCAGAAGCGGAAATAAACGAGCGTCGCCGAAACGGTGAAAGAAACCTCGTTCCTAAGGGTTTTCAGATTGTAAAAGTTCGGAGCAAAACGATCCCCAAGCCACTCTGGGTGGCAAGGGAAAGCTCTCCACAGACTTAAAAGTGTGCTACACAAATGCTCGCAGCCTACTAAATAAAATGGCGGAGCTGAAGTCATTGGTGGATAAAGAAAAACCCGACCTTATCGCTGTCTCGGAAACTTGGTTAACGTCCGAAATATTAGATAGTGAAATCCAATTGACTGGTTTCATAACCAGTAGGGCTGATAGATTAAACCGAAGGGGAGGCGGGGTTATTGTGTACACGAAGAGTACCCTAACCATAAGATTAGCTGAGACATTAGCACATGTTTCAGGGACATGTGAACTGGTGAGATGTAAGTTGAAATGCCGATGGCAAGATATTGAATTAGTTGTAGTTTATCGCAGTCCAGAATGTGTAGCAGACGATTTTCTCCTCAGTAAACTTAAGTCCTGGTGTAACAACGGTAAAAGCCTTGTAGTAGGCGACTTTAATGCACCATATATTAACTGGGTTAACTTAGAAGTAGAGTCATCTATATCATCGTTCGACTCCAAACTGTTAGAAACCTCGATTGGACTAGCATTATTCCAACACATTAGAGATCCCACAAGATACAACTTAAGAAACTCTTCCTCTCTTTTAAATTTAGTCTTCACACACGGTGAGGACATTGGTCAAACGGCTTTTCTCCCACCACTTGGGAGAAGTGACCATGCAGTCATCTTATTCAAATTCATGGCTGAAATTGCTTCTCAAACAATTGCGCCGGCCCGTCCTAACATACGGAAGGCAGATATGCAGGCAATTGATTCCGCAGCATCGGCTGAGAACTGGGAAATTGACTCAAAGGCATCAGTACAAGAGGCATGGACTCTATTCAGACAACTATACAATCGGGTAACTCAACCATATATACCCTGGACTGTCCCAAAGAAAAAGAAGCACGGACATCCCTGGTTAGGGCGGGATATTCGACGCTTACTAAGACAAAAGAAGAAATGCTGGGATGTTGCCATCCGCCTTGGCACAGCAGATACGATGGAACGCTACAGATCGATAAGAAACGAGTGTGTAACTAAAATTCGGGAAGCGCAAAGAAAATATGAAATGCAGCTGGCAGAATCTGCACTCAAGCAGCCCAAGAGGATATTCTCGTACATAAACTACAGAACAAGGACTCATCACTGGATTCCCAACCTAATTAAAGTAGGAAGTGAATCTGAAATGATAGAGGAAGATCAGGAAAAAGCTGAGATTATGGCTGACTATTTTGGGGCAGTTTTCACTCAGGAACCTCCACTAGAGAAAGAACCAGACCCGAATACAGAGTCAACAAACCAGCTGCTCACCGTGGACTTCGACCAAAACGATGTGCTTAAGGCTCTTAGCACTCTAAATATGGAGAAGTCAACAGGACCAGATGAACTACACCCTAAAATCTTGAGACATATTGCCCAATATATCGCAGCTCCACTGACTGTGATATTCAAAATGTCACTTGATCAAGGTGTGTTACCTATGGACTGGAAGGACGCAATCGTCACTCCCATACATAAAACAGGTCCACGACAAGTTCCTTCGAATTACAGACCTGTAAGCCTCACCAGTGTTGTAATTAAAATACTGGAAAGGATAATCAAACGGACCATAACGGCATTTATGGAAACCAATAACTTTCTGAACATGGCACAACATGGTTTTAGAAAGGGTCTATCCTGTACAACGAATCTCCTTATAGCTAAGGAGTTCTGGATTATTGCGCTAGACAACGGAAACTCAGTGGATGTTGTCTACACAGACTTCAGTAAGGCTTTTGACAAGGTGCCAACTAATAGACTGCTATTAAAGTTGGAAAACCTTGGTATTGCCGGATTTCTTTTAAAATGGATTAAGGATTTCCTAGTAGGTCGTAGGCAAAAAGTAAGAATAAATTCCAAGTGCTCCGTCTGGAGACCAGTATTTAGTGGAGTACCTCAAGGTTCCGTCGTAGGTCCTTTACTTTTTATAATGTACGTAAATGATCTTACAAGTATAGTGCAGTCTCCAATGTTATTATACGCTGATGATGTAAAAATTTGGCGAGTAATAAATGGAGACAAAGACGCATTTACTCTTCAGGCGGACTTAAATAA